GAAGACGCTGAACAGCCTAAATTGGTGTCCTAATTTTCTTAGCTCTCTCCTACTGAACCTCACTTTATCTCTTTGATATTATTTTACGAAAAATTTCTTCAATTTGATCCTTCTGTATGTCTAATATAATTTAAATTTTTGACTGCTATATTAACTTAGTATACTGGAACTTTCTGTTTATTTTATTTTAAAAACAGTATTATAGGGACCAGCAGTTGGTATGGTGTTTCAAACACAGGACTCTCACATGGCCAACCGTGGTTTGAGTCTCAGAACTGGCAGCTTAAGGATCACGCCAGGCATGTGTGCAGGCATGCCCCTAATCCCAAGAGGTGAACGGAGAAGGGATTGGAACATGGCCAACACCCCTGAGGGAGTGATTTTTCACTTTCTCTCTCACTATCTCTCTGTTTCTCTCCAACAAGCACACATGCCCTATAGTGAAACCTTAAAACAGTTAAAAAAGAAAAAATAAAAATGACGTTTTGTTCTTTCATGGATGGAAACTGATTCTTTTATTTATTTCTGTGGATATTGTTTTAAAGTTACTTGTTTTAAATATTCTACCTCTTGGAATTTCTTTCCTCTAAGTTCCAGTATCTCAGGTTTTGTCTCATAATGGTGGTTTTCTTATTCTTTTTCCTTTTTTTTAAAAGAATTTTTTTTCTTCCTTCCTTCTTTCGTTTCTTCCCCTTCATTTCTTCTCTCTCTCCTTCTCTCTCTCTTTCTCCCTCCTTCTCTCTCTCTCTCTCTTTCTTTAAATTTGACCAGAGAAGGGCAGAGTGAGAGAGAGAAAGAGAAAGCAAGTTACCAGGTCTGGGACTCAAACCGCAGTGGGTCATGTGGGAGTACAACGCCCTTAACCACCACGCCACCTGCTGGCCCCATGATGGTGTTTTTCTTCCAAGGTGATCCTTAGTAATCATAATGAAAGGAGAAGCACTAAAAACCTAACTGGGACTTTAGGGCGCATGGTTGGATCTTACGGACTGGTGGGCTTTGCTAGTCTTACCAGGACGGTTGCTTTACTTGTAAGCTTATAAATTTGCCTATAGACTGTTTTCCCCGAGGCTCACCGATTTCCTTAAGTCCTCATCCACCAATTTCCTGCTAGAGCACTGTGGTGTAAAGTGCTGGTGGGAGAAATATGCCTCTCTACTTGTGTTCCGGAAGGAAAGCCAGAGAACCACTATTCTGTATCTGTGTTTCACTTGACTTCCCAGGTTCCAGCGCAGTGCTTCATCATCTGCCCCCAGCTCTGTGTGGTGTCCTTGAGGTTTTGGTCCAATTTCAAGTCAAAATAAACTTCCTGGGGCCAGCAGGTGGTGTGGTGGTTAAAGGCACTTGAATCCCACATGGTTGACTGCGGTTCAAGTCCCGGATTTGACAGCTTGCTTTCTTGCTTTCCCTTTCTCTCTCTAGTAAAATTAAAAAATTATTTATAAAATAAACAAACATCCTGTCTCTTGCTAGGGTGAGGCATCAAACTCCTTATTAACTTGTAAGCAAGGTTCTTCTTCCAACTCTCTGCCTCACCATTCTCTTCTGTGACAAATCATCTCTCCAATTCTTAAACCTTTCTCGTCGTCAGCAGCCTTAGCTGGCTTCCTTATTACTGGCAAATGCTTTTTAGTTCGGTGAAAAATGCCATCCAGTTTTCATCTTCCAAACTTTAGTTTTCATCTTTCAAAATCAACGTATTTGTTGTCTCACTGTTACCTTCACCCATATGCATTTAATATTTTGTAAGTTCATGTTCTAATTCTAGTGGGACTTCAAATAGAGCAAAATTATAAATGGTTCAGTTTACTATATTTAATTACAAGCCCTTCTATCTTTTTGTATACAGAAATAAGACACAAATAATGCTGGAAAAAGCAACCTACTGGCAAAGAGAAAAAAAAACACAAAATGGTTAACAACGGATCTTCTGCTAAAAGAAAGAGTGATAAGGAGAGAACAGGAAGAACATAAAGAGAGTCAAGAGTTCAAAGGTAAATAAGAGGTTACAAATACAGGGAAAAGACATATAGATCAATTCTATCCATCCTCCTTTCCATTTCTTAGAAGTAACTATGTTAACAACAAACAAAAAGAAATTATGCCTAATCTTTGCTATATAACTCAAAACAGCTGACAAATTTCAAACACACAGCTGACGACTCACAGCTCTGAAAACTAAGTCTCTGCAGAACAACTCACTTGTGTGGAGTCTGTCAGATCTCTGGAAGGACTTCTTCCCCAAGCCTAACAAAGCGCTTTCTACTTTCACTGAGGGAGCAAAGCTGGAGTTCGAGTTCTGGGGGCTGCTGGACTGTACATCAGATTGCTTTCCTTCCCATATGGCTAGGAAAAAAATATAAAGATTGGTTCCAGTGAGGTTACTGACAGAAGTCAATTAATCAATCAATCATTTTAAATAGAGTTATGGATGATGCTATGTGACCTTGCTAATATTTCTGAGTCCGAGAAGTAAAGTCAAACAGCAAAATAAAATACCCTCATACCCTCCGACAGCATACTATTTACTTCTGGTGACAAATTTCCTTTCTAACAAAAATGTGAAGTTCTACAAGACTCAGATTAAGTCCAACAAGGCCCATAAAATCAGCCTATGGCATCAAACCGAATTATATAATACGATAAAAGTCTGTATCTTGACCAGTTTAAATTAAAAACAAAACAAAAACAAAAAACTCCAAAGGTCTGTAGACAGGTCCCGTGGAAATACATAGATAGGATATGCATTTTTAGAAAAACCTTTTCTTTTTACAAGAGAGAATTAGTAAACAATTTGAACCTCCTATGATAAATGACTAGAGGTCTTTAAATATCACGAGATTAAGCATCAAACATCAGTGACTGATTTCCTTCTCATATGCAAATGCCATTTGTAAATAACTCATGATTATTTTACATAAAACCTTTCCCGTATATTCTGAAAGGGTTCATAATTAATGATTCGACCATGATGGAGGGCCGGCAGGTGGCATGCTGGTTAAGGGCAATGAACTCCCACATGGCTGAATGCAGTTTGAGTACCGGACCTGGCAGCTAGCCTTCTCTCAATCTCTCTCTCCTCTCCCACTCCCTCCTGTCCCTCTCTGGTCAAACTGAAATAAATAACTAAAGTTAAATAAAATAATTATTTAAAAAATAAATAATAAATAAATGATGGAGTATACAAATTTGGAAAACCAACACAAAAATACTAAGAAAAATAAACTTCCATTGGAAAAAATGCATAAACTGCCTACCAGGTTTGGCAGGTATAGAGTCACAGGATGCTTTGACATTCTTTAAAGAGAGATGCTGGCTGGAGGAGATGGGCATGCTGGGTCTGCATTGCTGCTGCTGCTTCTTCTGCTGTTGCTGCTTTAGAGCCTATAAAGAGAAAACTGACTATAAGAAACAAAAAAGATCAGTTTTTAGTAATAATAAAAAGTAAATGACTAAGTGGTGAGAAACATGCCGATTGTTCAATTTCTTTGAAATCTATCAAAGCAAACAAAAACCAAAATCAAACTAAATACAATGTCTAAATGATCCTTAAGAGTTTGAATTATTTTTTGCCAGTATTACTCCTTTCTGAGAGAAATAGTCACTAACAATTTTCAGAACTTGAGAACTACCAGTAAGCCAAGCATTTTCCAATCTTGTAATCAGAGAATTGTTATGTTTTCAACAGTTTCTGGAAACAGAATATAAACCTTGTACCAAGAAAAACCCTATTTGCATCAACCCTATGGGGAAATGTAAATATTTAGTTATATATGCTTCAGAGATGCTATATTCAAACACGAGGTTCTAAATAACTACTTGAGTTACCATGAGTAAGAGATATATGATTTTTTCCAATTACCAAATTAGCAACTTACAACAATGTCACCAGAGGAGAAAGAAGACCAGACTGAATAATGTGTTTCTCCTCCAGCTATGTTAGAACATTTTACTTCTGTAAGATTCTTAATTTATAAATGATTGTCAAGTAATTTACACTTGACAGTAATATTTTAAATGAACGAGTATGAAATAGCTGGCTACTTCTGGTTTCACATTCCCTTTCCTCAAAGTAGTTCTCGCCTGCTTAGCATTCACACATGTTGCTGGCCATGCCACAGGCACACAGGCAATGACGGATCGCCTAGCTCTTAAGTTGCTGATGGAGAAAAGCAACTGAGAGAGTCAAATGTCTGGCTTCAATCCACCTAAAACATTTACAGGAGGTGAGGCAAAGCAGAAAGTGTAAACCTGACAGTGTCATCTGACCACTGTTTATGGTTTACTTTACAGGCAGACTAGATGTTCCTAAGCTTCCTAAGTAGCAGCTGCCAGTATTCAGCCCTTACCACTCTATCCACATTGTCCAGGTACATGCAACACTTAGAACCACTTAGTACCATCTGCTTCTGCTGTGATCATGTAAATTCAGACATATGATATGGGAGCAAAACAATGTATAGCTGCTGAAATCAAGATCTATACAGTTCCTCTCCTTCAGTAGTTTATAATTCCTATTCCTAATTCTATTTCAAAGTTAATAAGGAAATAACAAAATCTTCATTTGTGGGAAAGGATAACTAATAGTGAAGTCCTTTTTCTCACTGAATACTATGAAAAATATATACTAGAATTAGGAATTACTTTACATATCAACAATCTAATTTATTTAGTTTTCCATACTGATATTCCCTAAGGAAAATATAATTATCCGACTCTTATGATTACAATACTATACACTACAGTAGTAATGTATGTCATGAATGGTTAACAAGGTGTAAGAATATATTTGCCTTTTCCTTGTGGAAAGGAAGCATCTTATATTTCTTTTCTTCTTGAGAGAGATCATTTTGCTATAAGGTGCATGCACTCACTGGAGATACAGAGAGAAACAGAAAGACAGAAAGCAAGAAATCACCCCCTGGGAGGATGGTCACAATGCAACCCCTTATCCTCCAATCTCCTCTTGGGATTTTGGGCATGCACGCACATGCACCCATCCTGAGTTTTAAGCCGCCAGGTCTGGGACTCAAACCCTTGTGGACTAGGTGGGAGGCCAGTGATGTAATCATTATGCCATCTTCTAGTTCTGCACCTTGTATTTCTTAAAATCTTCCACAGAGCTTACTGAAACGAAAGTGCTACAGGATATCCGAGCAGGCATCCATGAATCTTATCAAACTTATCAGTATCTTTTAATAAAAGTACTTTAGTTTAAATAGCATAAAACCTACATAATGTAAAGTTTTTCAGATAGTGGCTTGGTGGTTAAAGAGCTGGATCTCACATGGCTGACTGTGCACTTCAAGTTTCAGAACTGACAACTCGAAAAAACACACCATGCGTAATTATGTCCAAAATCCCAAAAAGAGGAAGTAGAGGAGAAGGGATTGAGGCATGACCATTTTTAATGGGGATGCCTTTTCACTTTCCCTTTTTTCTCTCTCTCCGGTAAGCATATACACCCTCTGACAAATTTAAATTTTTTTTTTTAAATTAGGGCTGCAGGTGGTGTAGTGGTTAAGGTGTTGGACTCCCACACGACCAACCATGGTTCAAGTCCCAGACCTGGCAGGTTCCTTTCTCACTTTCCCATCTTTCTCTGGTCAAATTGAAAAATAAATTTAAAATTAAATAAATAAATCTAAAATAATTTTAAAGTCAATTTTAATTATATGCGTCATGCATGAATACATTTTTACCGCCTAATTCAAACACGAAGCTAAACTCTTAACCACCAATCTTGGTCTTGGTTCACAATTCTCAGACGTAACCACTCACTATTTTTCCTTCTTAAACTTTATTTTAACACTCAAGTATATGTGTTTACGTACAAACACATATTCATATTTCTATTAAAAGCAAAGTGTTGCTTTGTATGTGTATGTTTTCATAAATGATTTCATGCTCTGCATGTTATAGTAAAACTTAAATGAGTCAACACTGTATCTTGATCATCTTTCCATGTTTAAACATATAAAACAATCGCATTACAAAATAAATGCTTAATCCTGCAATTTTCTAGGAGATGAGTATACCAACAATTATTGAGGAATTCAATAAATAGTATACATAACAGGCTATTTTCAAGTTCTTGCTATTAAAAACCTTAGCATAACTGTGTATCTTTCTAACGTAAGTTCTAAAATATTCAACTGCTTATCATGGGGCATGGTGCATTTAAAATTTTAACAGATATTGCACAATTTCTCTCCAAAGTGGCTATAATAGTTGGTATTTTACCAGCAATTCTACCAGTAATTCTTTTCTCACATACTTCCCAATGCTTGACAATGATAACTCTATAATTTATACCAAAATCTGAGGAGAAAAATGTTATTTTACTGTTTCTCTAATTACTGTAAGTTATATTTACTGATCATTTGTATTAGGAAAAAAAAATCCAAACTAGTTCTTGTAAAGCCCAATAAGATAGACAAGCTCTTTACAAGCAATAGCAGGGGAAAAGAAGATCCATCATAAATGAACAACACTGAGAAACTAAAAAAGACATTAAAAAAGTATTCTGTACAACTTTATACCAATATTTAAAAAGTTTGGCTTCAACGATTTTTTCTTAAAAAACACTTTTAAGGGAACCAGCAGTTAGTATAATGGCTATGTCGCTGGACTCCCACGTAGTTGACTGCGGTTCGCGTCCCAGACCCGGTGGCTTAAAACTCACACAGGGCGTGTGTGTGTGCGTGCCCAAGATCCCGAGAGGAGAATGGAGGAGAAGGGATTGCGGCGTGACAATCCCCCATGGGGGGTGATTTCTCACTTTCTGTCTATGTCTCTCTCTGTCTGTCTGGTGAGCGCACGTGCCCTATAGCGAAACCTCTCCAAAAAAAAAATAATAATAACCAAAACCAAAACAACAACAACAACAAAAAACACTTTTTATAAAAATTAATTTTCAAAGTTGGTTTCGAGAGCAGGAAATCAAGAGACCAATAATAGTAGATAAAATTATAATGTTAGGAAAATGATTTTAAGATGTTATTTACAGAACTTTCAAGGACAAGACAATTTCTACAATTTTGCTCCAAAATCTAGAAAAAAAACAGCACTCTACAACTTGTTTTATAATGCTTTGAAAACTACATGAGAATAGTACAAGAAGATGGCAAAATCCAAACTAAAATCCTAACAAAAAAATTCAGTAACACATTAAAAAATATGTAATGAACATACAGGGTTTATTCCAGAGAATAGTATAGCATAATATTAGCAAATACAGCAGTGTAATTCTGTGTATTAGTAGATTAAAAGAGAAAAATCCACCTGATCATCTTGGTAATTCACAAAGAAAATAAATCTGAAAAATTCAGCATCTACTCATGATTAAAACACACACACCAAAAATATCTACCAAAAATCTCTAAGTATTATATACAGAGGTGCACAAATTACTAAAACCAAACGGGGATACTGAATGAAACCTCCCCTTAAAAGAGAGGGTCTAAAGTGGAACCAGCAGTTGGCATGGACTCCCAAATAATTGACCACAGTTCGAATCCCAGACCTGGTGGCTTAAACTCACGCTGGGCATGTGTGAGTACATGCCCAAGATCCCAAGAGGAGAATGGAAGAGAAGGGATTGTGGTGTGGCCATCCCTCTGGGGGTGATTTCTCACTTTCTGTCTATCTAGCGAGCACATGTACTCTATAGCAAAAACGTCTCAATAAAAAAGAAAGAAAGAAAAGTGTGGGGGGGAGTCTAATGTAAAAGTTTCATGAACTTTTTGATGAATGCCAGAGTCACATACTTTTTATTTGGGGGTGGGGGTTGGTGGAGGTAGGAGATGAGGTGTGTATTTGTGGTGTTTCAGACAGTGTTTCACTATGTCACCCAAGCTGGCCTCCAGCTTACTCAGCCAGGATTACAAGCATAAGCCACCACACCTGGCTTTTAAAGAGTAGGGCAGGGATTGAACCCAGGCCTCCCACGTGGCATCAGCCTGCTAAGCAGAAGCACGCGGAGCTACCATGGTTATGCAAGAGAGCCATGCATTTTTAACTTGGGAGATCTTACTTCTGATGACACAGACTAGGAATGCTTACCTGCTTTAGTGCCTTCTTGCTGTGCTTCTGTGATGGAGAAATGACTTTACCTGCTGGAATGGTGGGTGATGGGCAGCCGGACTGTGGGGAGGATGGCTGTGACAGTCTAGATGATACTAAGGGGAAAAAGTGACAATGAAAAGTTCTGCTATCAGAGTTATTATCAAGCACCATTCCTTCCCCAATCATATGCTGCTACCTGTATTAAGAACTGTGATCAAACACTTTTGGGAAGGATCTTCTTTTTTTGGAGTTCTACTGCAAACAGTCTCCCTTTTCAGTTTATTTCCACAGAAAGCTCTAGTGAAGGATGATAGGATGGGGAAGGGATGGGTGTTAGTATACATTATTTTTCATTTTTCAAAAGAATTGACTGAAGAAGCCAGAGGCAGAATATAAACCATGAGTCATCAAATTAGATAAAACCTAGAAAGGCTCTAGGGTCCGCTAAACAGTATCTGTGCTCTTAAGGTAAATCTTATGACAACATGATGCAGTGGAAGAACTTTGGATCAACCACAGAAAATGAAGGCAGTAGGCCATTCTACCTCAAAAACTCTACTACAGTTGGAAACCAGCAGTTAGCGTAATGGCTATGTCGCTGGACTCCCACATAGTCGACCGTGGTTCATGTCCCGGACCCGGTGGCTTAAAACTCATGCCGGGCGCGTGTGCGTGCGTGCCCAAGATCCTGAGAGGAGAATGGAGGAGAAGGGATTGCGGCGTGACCATCCCCCCTGGGGGGTGATTTCTCGCTTTCTTACTCTATGTCCCTCTCTGTCTGTCTGGCGAGCGCACGCGCCCTACAGTGAAAATCTCTCAAAAAAAAAAAACAAAAAACCTCTACTACAGTTTTCAGTTGACATTCCTTAGTCACTGAATAATACTGAGATTTCCAATGTGAGAGGGCAGTTTCAAATTTCGGCAACAGAAGCAGTGTAAGTTTGCAAAGGATTCATTCTCTACTCCATCATTAGCTGTTTGATATTGCCTGTCAGAGCTCAGCCAGACCTGAGTCCTGCGTGAAGGAGTGTTCTTCCTTTAAAAGCTAACTGGTCTTGGGGACAGCAGGTGGTATGGTAGTTAGGAATGCTGGACTCCCACATGGCCAACAGTTATTTGAGTCCCAGATCCAGAGGCTTGCTTTCTCACTTTCCCTCTCTCTCTGTCATTCTCTGGTCAAACTGAAATAAATAAATTTAAATAAAATAATTCTTTAAAAAAAAAGCTAATTGGTCTAATACTAAACAGTAAATGGCTCCTTATGTTCTATAAAGTTCAGCAGTGAGTGCCGTTTACAAGCAAGAACACAGAAACTGCTGTTCCAGATTCCTTCTTTTAAAGGAAGGGAAGGAAGGAGAAAGAGAAGGAGGGTGGGAGGAAAGAAGGGTAGAAGGAGAGAGGGAGGTAAGAAAAAAACAAAGGAAGGAAGGATTATAATCAGTTAGTGGTGATTTTGAGAAAAGTACATATTTATTTATTAATGTCTTCCTCCTTTCATTGGAGTTGGACTGAAAAGGCCTGGGAGCAAAAAAGTCTTCCTATGGCAAGGCCAATTAAGGGATTACATAAAGTATGTACTTAGAAGTAGCTGTCTGACATGAAAATAGAGAAGCATGGTTAACTGGAATATTCAAGTTTGGGTATATGTGTTGCTGAAGTAAAGCACATTGAATAAGTGAGTTTTGGAACACATAATTTCAATTCATTTTAGATAGCCTAAGGAAGAAGTAAGTAGTAGGTAAGTTTAAAGAAGATAACTGAAGATGATTACTAACACAATGATTTATTATCATATTCAGCTTTGTCTCTATATCCCAACCTTTATCAAAACATTATATATGGAAAACAACTAGTGCAAAATAAACCTGCCGTTGAAAGAGGGCCGGCCCTGTGGCCTGCCGGTTAAAGGAGCGAGATCCTATGTGGCCAACCACGCACTCTGAATCCTGGCCTTAGTGGCCTGAAAAGGCACTCTGGATGCACGTGAGCCCGAAATCTCAGCAGGGCGGATTAATGGAGAGGGACTGTAGCATGACCATGCTCCACTGGGTATTTTTCCCCTTCCTCTGTTTCTCTCTCTAGTGAGCACATGCACCTTCTGGCAAATTAAAAAAAAAAAAAAAAAAAAAGGGTGTTCAGTGTGATCTCTATCACATAAAAATGGAGCTGGTTAGTTCTTTTTCTTTTTGAACTGGTTAATTCTCGAGATGACTGAGCAGTGAAAAAACAACCAGTCTCAGTGCACATGGTGCTAATTTTTCTTAAAAAGATAATGGCTTATTAAGATCTAATTTATAGGGGCCAATGGAGGTTAAAGTGGCTGGATCCCACATGGCCAGCTTTGCAGTTAGAGTCTTAGACCCAGTGGCTTGAGGATCATCCTGGGCTACCGTGCGTGTTGGCTCAAAATCCTGAGAGAAGAGTGGAAGAGAAGGGATTGCAGTGTGGCCATCCCCTCTGGGGAGGGGTGGTGGGGGGGTGATTTATCACTTTCCTTCGCTCTTGCTCTCTCTCTTTGGCCAGAACAAGTGCCCTATAGCAAAAAAGAAAAAAAAAAAAAGATCTAATTTACATACATACAATTCACCTACTGAAAGTGTAAGATTCAGTGGCTTTTAGTATATTCATAGAGGTGTGCACCCATCACCAACCATCAACTCTCATCGCCACCCTCTGCCGTATCTATTACCTGTCCTTCCTCTTTCTCCCACCTGCAGCCTGCGTCCTGGGCAATCACTACCAGACTTTCGATCTCCACAGATTTGCACATTCAGGGCACTTCATATAATAGAATTACAGTCTTTTGTGACTGGCCTTTTTCACTTAGCATAATGTTTTGATATATACAAATATGTCACATTTTGTTTATTCATCCGCTGATGAACATTTGAACTACTTCCACTTTTTGACTATTATAAACAATATTACAACGACTATTTATGTACAGGCCTTTATGTATAATTACTGAGTCTTATGGTAAGTCTGTGCTTAATTTTTGAGGACCTGCTAAACTTCCAAAATGGCTACATAATTTTTAGAACTCCCCTAGGAATGTATAACGGTTCCACTTTCCTTACAACCTTGCCAACATCTGTTATGGTCTTTCTGATTTAGCCAATGGTCAGTGTTTTCTAAGGGACATAATGAAAACAAACGTTAAAAATACTAATATTTAACTATGTTTATTTTCTTTTCCATGTCTGACAGAAATCCAAGAATGTACATTTCCTCACCTGCCCAACATACTTCCTGATTATACACAGAAAACCAATATAATATCATTAGAAAATTTAAGAATTCGGGGGGCTGGCAGGTGGTATGGTGGTTAAAGACGCTGGATTCCCACATGGCCGACTGTGGTTCGAGTCCTGAACCTGGAGGCTTGCTTTCTCACTTTCCCTCTCTCTCTGGAAATATTAAAATAATAATAATAAATAAAGTTAAATAAAATAATTCTTAAAAAAAAAAAAAGAGTAGACCCAAGGAAAAAAAAATAGTAATTTTTAAAAAATTTAAGAATTCTACTTTATAGCCTTGGGACCAGCAGTTAGCGTAATGGCTATGTCGTTGGACTCCCACGTAGCTGACCACAGTTTGCGTCTTGGACCCGGTGGCTTAAACTCACGCCAGGCACGTGTGCGTGTGTGCCCAAGACCCCAAGAGGAGAATGGAGGAGAAGGGACTGCAGCGTGGCCAGCCCCCCTGGGGGGTGATTTCTCGCTTTCTATCTCTGTCTCTCTCTGGCTGGCTGGCGAGTACACACGCCCTATAGCAAAAACCTCCCCCACCTCAAAAAAAAAAATCTACTTTACAGCCTAGAAAAGAAATAATAAAGCTATCTGTAATTACCAAGAATAGAATTCTCCCCTTTAAGGCAAAAGCTTTTTTTAATGAATGAAGCCACAAGCAAATCACCAAACCAGTTCAAATAAATCATGACAACTGCAAAACCTACATGTGAGAAACATCTTCCAGGGTTGACTTAATGCCGAGTACTGGTCTCAATATCTATGAAAATGAAATGCTCTTCTAACTTTTTAAATATTAAAGGCTCAGAGCTACAAGCAGCAAATGAGACTTAAACACTAAAGAAATACCTCATAATTTCTTCTATGGCTACACTAGTTGTCTTCAAAGACATAATTTTATTACTGATTTATTTAATCAGGATTTCACTGAACTCTCATTTAAAGTTGGTACTAGCTCCGTTCCTACCTACATCCAAACGTCTTGAGTTCTATTTCCAGACATAACTAAATGATATAGTCTAGGTGGCATCTTTACAACATTCTTCTATGCAAATAAAAATAGGAAAAGATTTTTAAGGACATATATTTAAGTACAAATGTATCTCAAACATACACATCCATCTACATACTATGATGGGATTATTTCTTCTTGATCTGACTGCTGGAGGGCAAAGGCATTTGCAAGGTGGGGGAGAAAGCACCACATGATGGGATGTGGCCGTGCCATAGTCCCTCCTCTTCCATTTCTCCACCCTGTCAGGATTTTGGCTATGCAACACACATGCCTGGTGCATTTTTCAAGCCACATGGCTGGGATCCAGATCCCTTAACCATTAGGTCATGGGGGTAGAGGGAGGAGTGTCCGGTCCTATGATAGGCTTATCTAAGTTTTGCATATTAGGAAATCTAATTACATTGTCAAAAGGCAAATAGAGAGTAAGGAGTAAAATCAAGATTTGAACTTTATTTTTAAAATAATGAGTGGGCACCTGCAGTAGGCTGATAATGTGGCCACTAAAAAGGTATATCCATGTCTTACTTCCCAGAACCTGTGAATATTAATGTCACTCAAAAAAAGGATACTGACAGATTAAGTTAAAGATTTTGGAATGAGAAGATAATCCTGTATTATTCGAGTGGGTCCTAAAGCCAAAGACACAGAGGAGGGGCTAGCAGGTGGGCCAGCTGGTGGGATAGTGGTGCCTTAACCACTCTCACATGGCTGATTGAGGTTCAAGTCCCGGATCCAGCAGCTTGAAACTCATGCCAGTTGTGTGTGTGTGTGTGTGTGTGTGTGTGTGTGTGTGTGTGTGTGTGTGTGTGTGTGTGTGTGTGTGTGTGTGTGTGTGTGTGTCCCCAAATCC